CAGCCCCTGATTAGAGCTTCCTCTTTCTGCTGAGTTCAGAAGGTGTTTCCGCTGCATCATTCCAGCTGCATCACTAAGAGTACCTATGGCCTATGTAAACATTCTTTGTGCAAAGCAACAATCTGTTTCCTGTGTTTTTTTTTTTTTTTGTAAACACCTGAACAATGTAGTATTTGCTAAGAAACCAAACTTTCAGTGAAGGTTGAATATTTATAGGTGCAACAGTTATGTTAGCAGGTCTACAAGAGCATGGACAAATTTAACACTTTTTCTTCGTCTGGTTGCAATAAGGTTCAGTATTTTATGAAACATTTGAAATAAAGGATGTTGTTTTGTAATCAAATTTATTCTTGTAAATTTCTATCTTCCATCCATCCAGTTTCTGTCACACTTATCCTTGCTGGGGTCACAAGAGGTGTTGGTGGGAGAGAGGCGGGCTACACCTTGGACAGGTCACCAGTACATTGCAGGGCAACACAGAGACAAACAGGACAAACAACCATTCACACACATCTAAGGAAAATTTAGAGAAGCTGAATAACCAAACAATCATGTTTTTGGACAGTGGGAGGAACTGAAATATCCGGAGAGAACCCACGCATGCACAGGTAAAACATGCAAACTCCATGCAGAAAGACCCAAGGCCAGAAATTGAACCTGGAACCTTCTTGCTGCCATCTACTGCTCTACTGTGAAGCACACTAAATTGCTAGCTTTGTCCATGTAATTATAAGATTATTTGTCCAATTATTGTTGCAGAAAAAAAAGACAGACCATTCAGTAGATTCTCATCTACTTATAGTGGATTTCTTAACTTTAGCCTTTTATCCATTGGCTGTCATTGTATGTGTGGGTGTGTCTGTGATTTCTAAAGAAGAACTCAGTTTCTCCCATTAACTAAAAGCAATTCTAGGTTCTAATGATTCAAGGTATCTATAATTCAATTATCTATTCAACTGTTGACCTTCATTTCTGCAGCCTTCGTTTTAAGGCATTATCCCCTATATTGTGTGTGTCCTGCTTCCTCAGGATTAATTTAGACAGGAGCACCTTGTGTGATGCACACTGTGTCCCGAAAGTTTGTCCTTAAAACTAAAAAGCTGTATATGGGCCACTCTCATACAAATAGATCCCTGTGCATATTTGGAAAAGAGACTCAATCAAAGAAGTTTCTACAGGCCGTTTGGTCATATATATAGTGTTTTAGTCTGAGAATGTAAGGCTAGATTTTCAATGTAAGACTGCAATGTTAAACTTATGACGCAGGAGTGTACGGTTCATCAGGACTTTCATCAGAATCAAGTGAATGGGCTAATCTCTAGAGGTCTTCATGTAGGTCAGTAGCTGCTATCTTTTCCCACTGAGTGAGAATGTTTCTGCTGTCATATGAAAAAAAAAAAAGATTAAATATGTCCTTTTCAGTACATCTCTCAACTCTTGTGAATTCAATTCAGGTTATTCATATAGAGTCAATTCACAACACGTCATCTCAAGGCAACAATAAAACCAGATCATACAGTCAAATTGATTCAAAGTGTTTTACCTAAGAAAAAAACAGTTGATTACATTGACTCTCTCTCATCGATTCTCTGCAGTCCCTCACACCAAACATGGTTGTAGCGAGAGTGGAGAGGAAAAACTCCCTTTTAACAAGAAGAAACCTCTATCAGAACCTGTGAGCGGCCATGTGATGAGGCCGACTGGGCTTCAAGGAGACAGAAGCAGACATAGAAAAAGAAGCAGAGATACAAAAGTCATCTGAACATTAACATTAGCTTTCAAGAGATAATGTGCTAACCATTTATGTATAAAATATGTAATGTCGAGTTGAAATAATTTTAAAAAGTTAATATTTGTATTTTCATGGCCACAATTTAAACAGATAAACTATAAGAATACATTTTGTGGCAGTTGAATAATAGCTCTTATGTTTATATCAATGTCGAGTATGTTGATTTACATAAGCTTTGTTCAATGAAAAATGAATCCTACAGTAACAATAACCTTGTTTGTTGTCTGCAAGCTAAATATTTAGTTTAGATTTATTACTGAAACAGTTGAAATATTTTGATTTGTCTAGTCTATCAAAGAATGATAAGGCTGGTGCATTTGTGTTACTTAAAAGTCATATATAAACAATACAAATGTATTAACTAGTACAACCTTGTGGCCAAGAAAGAGCAGAGAAGAAGTTTGTAGCTTTAACATGTTTAGCAAGCAGCCTAATAGTAAGTACACAGTTCAGTTTTAATAACTAGAACTTTTTCTGATGAAAGTCTGATCAGAAAAATCAATAAATCACTTCAAAAACCTGGCTGGCAGCTCTAAGTAGGCTTAAATACTTTAAGATCATGACAGAAACATATTCTATTGGAGTCTGAAAATAAGGAAAGAAAAGAAGAAAAATAAAGTCACTGATCAGGTGGTGGTAAAGGGAAATTCTAAAGCTGATTTTAGCAGCCAACAGCCAGACACATGATTCACAAATGGAGAAAAAACGGAGAGCAGTAGTGGTTAACCTTTATAGAGTGTCATCCGGGAGGTCACAAATAAACTTTCCAGCAAAACAGAGACAGCCAAAGGACATTTGAAGGGCAAAACCACTGCTGATCAAAAAGAACAAAATATTTATAGTACATTTACCCAAAATATATCTTATATTATCCCGAAGACAAGTAAAAAAAAAAAAAAAAGCACTATTATTGAGGCTCAAAACTCTAGAGGATTTTCTCCAAACACAAAATCCCGGTACATTTCAAACCAAACAAGAACCTTAGACAGCGGCTAGTGCATCCTAAGGATAAAACCCTCAAACCTAAAATGAGCGGAGTTTTGTATGTAATTCAATGCAGTGAGGAATGTTTTGATCTTTATATTGGAGAAACTAAACAACCTCTCTACAGACACAATGCTCAACATAGGCGAGCTAGCTCCGCCAGACAAGACTTTTTTTTTTATTACTGAGGCTCAGACTGAAGCATGGAGCAACATGATGAAGATTTATTATGTTATTATTATTATTATTATTATTATTATTTATTATTATATCACAAGCTTACAGAACTAAGAGGAAAAACATAACACAGAAAATGGACAAAGAAACTAAGCAATACAGCCTAAAACAAACAAAACCAGGAAATTGAAATAAATTAGATGTAATGGGCTGCGTGGAAATCAGGTGAGCGCAATCATCATACTGTAGCACAGTAGAGAAGAAACTAGGCAGAGAAAAGTGATGAAAAAGAACATTTTAGGGTGACACAAATCATTCATAGCAGTTGTTATGATGGGTCATCAATCCTTTCCCATAGCTTAGGTTAGCTTTGACAGCTTTTTTTCATTTTGTAAAGCTCTGTTAAAAACAGCATAATGTATGTCTTCAGGTTGTTTTTATCTAATATTATGAAGAATGGACTTGACATTTTACCAAACCAAAGTGATTCCAAATAGTTCTAATGATGCATTCATTTTATAACCAGTATATATATTTCTATGGGATATTAAATGATAGGACTTCCCCTAAGTGTCTTTGAGGCTTTTGAGGGTGCGTAACCGACCAGGGGTGGAGCTAGATGGGGCGCCAGAGATGGCCATGGCCACCCTTAGCCAATCATTGGCCACCCCTGTGGCTACCATTATATTCGCCGTCTAAGACAGACGGAGGCAGCAGTAATACTATCAAGAGGAATGTTTAAACTTACTCTTATATTAATAGTTACTTGACATCTAAAACACTGTGGTTAATTATGCACACCAAAATACTAACATTAAAATTGATATATACAAAATGCATGCTCTTTTAAGACCCTAGTTTTGTGTTATATGGGGTAAAAAGAAAAGTATATCTCTGCAACCCATCAAGGAGTTTTCAGTGAAATCATAGATAAATAACCACTTTAATAATAAATTAAAAAAACATTTAATGTAGATATTAGTACATGTAATATTAATGTCATGCAGAACAATTTTTGATAATAGTAGGTAAGTAATGACAATTGAAAAGATGTTTGCCCCAGACATTTTGTCCACTATAGCTTTTATTTAGACAGCATGGATGTTTAAATATATGCATCTATTTGTAATCAAAAGGCTGTAGGAAAGTATAGTTTGTCTTTATTTACGGTAGAAGATATGGATGTTGTGCTCGATCCTGTTGGAACATTGTAGATGGACCCTGAGGTTCTGGTGCCTATCCGCTTTCGGCCCCCCTCAGTTTACATTGGTTTTTGACTGGCCACCCCTATTAACCCTTTATAGGGCAAGTTACCATTTTTGATCGCTTGCATACCCCTACAAATGGAGTGCCATTTCTTTTACTCTCAGAGTGTTTTTCATGAATTTCTTATAGAAGCACTTTTGTTATTTTTCTTAATATATACGGTCAAGTTGGCGTTTCTTGTTATTACATTGACATTCATTTATGCCATCAAAATGCACATCTTTTTTGAACGTTACAAAGGCAATAAGGTCTTGTCCTGGATTCGAATAACACACTACTAAAATGATCTGTAAATTTGTGAAAATGTCTTAAAGTAAGTGTATTTACCCTTAATTTGAGTAGGTAAATAAGAACATCTCCGAGTTGAAGGAGCGTTTTTATCCTTAAAATCAGATTATTTGATATTATGCACTTGAAATAGGAGACTACATTTCCCCCCCTTATCTTAAATGTAAATTTTCTTATTCCATTTGCAAAGTATCTCACTTACCTGCTCAGTTCAAGAAAAAATGCACTTATTAGCCTAATGAACTTATTTTAAGAAAACCTGACTTACTTACATTTCAGTTTTTTTGCAGCGTACTCTTTGCTTGAAATTTAGATGTTTAAAGTCTTTCACTGAATGCCCTATAAAAGGTTATAATTTCCTGGCTACGCTTCTGCAACCGACAGCATCCCCTGCACGAGAGTGAAGCGTGGGCTCGCATCGAAATGAGGGGGTGGTCGAATGGGAATCACGACTAGTGACGTGGAAATGTGGGAGCTGGGAAGAGAGAAAGAGAGAGAGAGAGAAAGAGGGGGTTGCTGAAAGAAGGAGGGTAAGCAGCTGCTACCCAGTCCATTTTCAATCCAGTCACATTCACGCGTTTTTGTGTCTGGTGACAGACTACATCAACTGGAAAACAAAGGGACACCATCCAAGCTGCGAGCAGCCCAACAAACTCATCATTTTCTTCGCATCTGTCTGGAAGAAGTGCATCAAGTCAGGCTGGAGGTCACCGTGACAGAAGCTTTGATCGCTCGCGTGGGTAAGTCTGTCTGCGCAAAAAGTGCTTGATTATTTAACCTATAAGTGAAAATGATCATATCGTATGGATGTGTTGTAAACATGAAGCCATGTGGAGATCTGAATGAATGCGTAATGGGATTTAGATGAATGAATCATGGCTGATGTTTGCGCAGCTTATGACTATTTATTAATATTAATAAGTTGATCAATTGGTGATTGTCGCTCTTCAGCCACCCCAGACGCACTGAGATGGACGTCATGAAGCACCCTGTCCACTCTCGGCTTAACAGCACTTAATCTGTCATTAGGGGGTTATTTTGAGACAGCGCACCGACATTGGCTGGCTGAACCTTCAGCTCACCTGATTTTATTTTACTAACTTTGTTTGTCTGGTTTATCTCATCGCTTCAACTACAAATAAAGTTTTCCATCGCAGCCCTTCTTCTCTCTTTGTTTCCCAAAGACAGTACAGCCGTACTCGTCAGTCTCAGCAGCGAAATGGAGATGGAGCATTTCGATGAGAGGGACAAAGGTCAGAGGCTCGGTCGCTCCAGCGCCAAAATGAACGGAGTGCCGAGCCCCACGCACAGCGCCCATTGCAGCCTGTATCGGACCCGGACCCTGAAGACTCTGAGCGCAGAGAAAAGAGCCATGAAGGTCCGCTTCTACCGCAACGGAGACCGCTACTTTAATGGGATAGTGTATGCGATCTCCTCGGACAGGTTCCGGACCTTTGACGCACTGCTGGCCGAACTGACACGCTCTTTGTCTGACAATGTCAACTTGCCCCAGGGGGTCCGAACCATCTACACTCGGGATGGAAGGAAGATCACCAGCATTGATCAGCTGGTTGAAGGTAAGTTTATTTTATCGCAATCATGAGCGGTTCTAGAAAGGGGGCCTGTGCCCCTGTAGAAGTGGCCCTGGGCCCTTTTAATGGCCCTGTCCTGAAAACATACACTACAAAAATTTAATAAAATATATTTTTTTTTTTCATAAGACAAGTGCTGTTTTTCCCCTTAATTTGAGTAGGTAAGTTTGAGAATTTATAGATATAATTTACATAAAAAAAAAACATTATTTTATCTTTATTTTTCTTATCTTTATTTCTTATCTGATTATTTGACAGCAAAAATTCTAATTATTTTAACAAATAGACATAATTACCTTCTCAAATTAAGTGGGAAATACACTTATTTTAAGTAATGTTTACTTTATTAGATATGCTATTGTAGTGTAATACTAAATCCATTTGTTAACATGATATATGCTGCCATTATTTTGGAATTGCAGTTGGCTTTAAGCTTTAATAGTACCAAGATAGCATGACATTTCTTTATTTGTTTTATCCAGAGTCTGAAACCTTGGCTTTCTGGCTCACTTAATATACTAAATTATGGGCAATAGCCCTGTTTGTTTGTTTTTCTGTGTGTTTTTTTTATTCGTTTGTCCTGTTCCTTCATGAAAAAAAACCTTGGCCCAAACCTTGACCCCCATTGTAAACCCTTATCTAGAAACATCACTGATCACACCTTAAAAGAAAACCAGAGGTTAATATAGGCCATCCTGTGCTTTTGGGGTACAGCTTTGTTCATTTAGAGAAACATAGCATTTAGCCCTAGCAACAAAAAAGGATATACTTGTGCAACAGCCCCAACAGCACAACCCTGCTTAATTTTTTGGCTGTTGTGTGTTTTTGTGATGATCTATTCAGTCAGTGGATTAATAAGCATGATTAGATTTTGGAGAATATGGGCCCCTGGGGTACATTCAGTTTTGGTGCACTAAAATTGTTCCTAATGAAAATGGCATTTGATAGTTATAACATCAACTTTAATATTTTTAGATTGTGTCCAAGTATAAATAGAGAAACACAAAATTTCTTTCCAGAAATGGTTTCCCATGTTTATAAAACAGTTGCCCAAATATTGCGGTATAACTATCCATGGGTTGATGTAGGTATTGTTGGAATAGCAGAAAACTGGGGAATGTTTGTTTTTCAAATCAGTCTTTATCAATATTTTCTAATAAATTGTGATTATTTGTTTTTCCAATGCATGCTTGCAATCAGTTATGGTACATTATTCAAGATGTCCTGATTTATATTGTCAAATATGAATTGTTGATCCCTTTTTCTGACTTATTTTGCACAGAAATTTCAGTAAAGTATTTCTGTTAAGATCTAGTTAGATAGAGGAACCAAAATATTTCTTGCACATTGTTGAATCCAAAGCAATGGAGAGAACTTAAATGTTGCACAATTCATTATAAACTTGACTACAAAAAAAAAAAAAAAAAATACAAAAAACACATCCAACAACTTTTTGAGCTAACAAATGTGCATCCCCTGCTATCTTGGTGACCCAAATTAATCTCTATGTTCACTTATACCTTAGTTTGGCTTTGCAACTATTTGGAAGCAAGTTTGATTAAAATGATTGCTTCAAATAATAATCTCAAATGTGTCTGATCCTCTTTCTTAAGGAGTAAACTCTCCCTGTCCTTTAAACCTCCGTGTTATGTGATCTTGCTTAGCTCCCTTTGCCAATAAACTTGAGCCGAGGCTAAAGTAACACAGGCCAATTTCTTGAGATGTCCCTGACATGAGCTTCGGTGAGATTCTCACAGCATAACAATGCAGAGTGGAAATAAGATTTTTTTCATAGTATCAGCAATATCACTCAAAATGAATATATAAATCATAATCTGGGTGTTTTTTATTGATCCTTTTGATTATTTTAATGCATAGACTAAGATCCTGAATGGTTGAATTTCCATGTTTTAAACATTAAATTGAACGGTTGCCTGGTATCATAAAAAGTGAGTTAGAAGAGCAATGAATTGTTAAATTTAAACTCGTTTTTCATCTTTGATGGTTTTTCCAATTGCTTGTCTTTTTAACAGGTGAAAGCTATGTCTGCAGCTCAATTGAAGCTTACAAAAAGCTGGATTACACAAAAAATGTAAACCCCAACTGGTCAGTGAATGTCAAAGCCTCACCCTCTTCATCCCGTGGGCCTCTGTCCCTGGGCTCTGCCAAAGCCGGTGCACCAGAGGGTCGAGAAGGCAAGGACTTCATCCGGCCAAAGCTGGTGACAGTGGTTCGGAGCGGAGTTAAGCCCCGCAAAGCTGTGAGGATCTTGCTGAATAAGAAAACGGCTCACTCCTACGAGCAGGTTCTAACTGATATCACTGATGCCATCAAGCTCGACTCAGGAGTGGTGAAGAAGATCTACACTTTGGAGGGCAAACTGGTAAGAAAATGAAGGCATTATTCTGGATTTTCTTATTTCCATTTAAAGACCTTCAGCATAAAATATATCTGACTTACTAATGTCTCTTTTAAAGTGTAAAAGCAGTGAGACTAGTTGATTTTTTTAGTGGGTCACCAAAGTCCACTTTTATTTTTATCAAGTCCTGCAAGGAATGCATTTTTTTTCTCATCAGTGTTGGTGGGTTTGGTCCAGTTTAGGGCTGAAGAAGTTAATCGGATTGATGGTGATAATCGACTATTAAAATAATTGTAAACCAATTTAGTAATCGATTAATCGTTAACTGCAGTATAGAGACTCTAAAACATGCCTTTAGCTATCAGAGCAACCCACTTATTTCAGTAAATATAACAGCATTGTAAAAAGCAAGGATGTTGCATTTAACAAAACAATATATTTTTGTCTGTCAATATGCTCTGCCCCAAATTCCTCAAGTTAAAAAGTTGTAGTTTCACTGGGTGTAAATCTGTAAAAAATCTTCTTTAAGGAACGTTTTGCCTCAGATTATTAATCGATTAATTAAAAAGATAATAGATAGATTAATTGATTACCAAAATAATAGTTATGTGCTGCCCTAGTCTGATTTATAACCAAGAATTAATAGAGAAGCATTTGTAGATGAGTAGCATAAAGTTGATGAATAGTGTGCTGGGATGGAGGGGAGCAACGCTCTCTTTATGTGTAGAAAGATTTAAAAAAAAATCTGCTTAGAGACGATGGTTAGGAGTTCAGAGAAATTGAATATCAAATAACTTCATGATGGAATATTTATATTTAAGTGGGATAAGGAACGTTTTGGGACTGTAGACATTGCATTTTGTTATTGTCGGCTGGCTGATGGGCTTATGATGCCTTTTGTGTAGAGCTTTAGCTGTATATAAATATTTTTTGTAAAAACGTTTATCAAAAAATCATATATTTATATTTACACACTTGGGCATAATTATTGGTATTGCTTGTTTAGTAAAAAATATAATGTCACAAAAATAGTCACAAAAATAACTTAAATCTGACTAAATTCACATTTATAAAAAAAATCCTATTAAAAAGAACAAATAAAGTCAGACATTGCTTTTTAATCATGCTTCAATAGAAAAGTTTAAATCAAGGCCTGTCCACTACTTAGCATCACATGTGTCTACAATCTGGTAATCAGTCAGGTGGCCTAAATATAGGGCTAAAGGTAGTCACTGTGCTCTTTGATGACATGGTGTGTACCACACTCAACATGAAGCAAAGAAAGCAAAGAAAAAAGTTGACTCAGGAGATTAGAAGGAAAATTATCAACAAACATTTTGAAAGTAAAGACCATCTCCAAGTAGCTTGATGCTCCTGTGAGCTGTACATATTATTTAGACATTTAAGATCCATGGGACTGTAGCCAACCTCCCTGGTCCTTTCCAAATGCATTTGCACAAATTCATTTGGGAATGGACTAAGCATGCATCCCATGGAGTTTCAGTGTTAATGGTAAGAGCAGAGGATGTGGTTGAACACATCCATACTTCTTGTTGTTTTTTTAAGGAAATGATATGAAAGATGAATCAGCAGATCAGCAAGATTTTAATGACATTGTTAAACTTTCACTGGAGCCGAAAATTAAAATAAGCTGCACTTTTTAGGCTGCTTTTTCTTTCTCGATAAGGGGCAATGCTGTCGCATGTGCAAAAAGATTAAAAAAAAACATCCTCTGACTTTTGCTTAGAGAGACTTAGACTTAGACAACTTTTATTGTCATTTTGTATATACATAGTGTATACAAAATGACACATAGTATATACAAAATGAAATTTAATTTTGTACAGCTTTCAGACATGTCAGCAGCATAAATGAGCAGTAGCTTAGCAGTGAAAAGAACATTTAAGTGCAGCAGTGATCAAATGTAAACAATGTGGGGAAAAAAGCATGGTGCAAAATGCAACTATATGGAAGTTCAAAGCATTTCAAAACATATATATGGTGCAAATATGCAGTATTTTGGTTTTGTTATCAGTGTGATGCAGAGTCTGACTTGATTTAGAGTTTTTTTTCAGCAAGAGGATAGTTGAGAGTTCAGTTAAACGTTTACTGTAATACGTTTGCTTTCATTTTATTTTCCCATCCTTCGATTTTATGCATATTTGAGTCCCATTTACCAGTGTAAAGTAAAAGATTGATGCAGAGGTCAAGAGGAGGTAAGGTTAAATGAAATCCATGAATGGAGTCTCACCCACGCTGCAGTGTGTGGCTAGAGTATTATCTCTAAACACAAAAATAAATCTGTTTAAAGAAAGACCATCCACTCAATCAATCCATACATATTTCCCCTACTGCATAGCTAAAATAAAAGCTAGCTTCTACACTGCAGTTTGTTCAAACACATTTTGATGTTTGCTTGTATTTGGGAGTGAAGGAATAGATTTCTTCCGATCTGTTGGCATGGTAGCCCTGTTAGCATTCATGCTGCCTGTCTCATCCATATCGGGTTTTATTTTTCTCTGATCTTCTCTCTGATCCCTTTTTCTCTTTCTTGCACTGTATTTGAGTGATGCTGCATCTCTGAATGTAGTGACACTGGGCTGCTCTTCTCCTGACAGCCACATTATTATAATTTTTAAACAGGTTGCATTGGAGATCAAGCACATCCTAATACTTTGTGTTGCTTGGCAGTTAATCATGCTCTAAATAACCAATTAGGGGGTCTGCCCTTTAAAAAAATGTCTTTGCTCTAGGATCTTTTTATGCTCAGTCTTATGCTCATTCTAGTCATCTGTTCAGCCTATTTTCTGATCTATCTTTTCATCTATATCTGTTTCACTGTTAACCCAGCAGGATCCTGACTCCAATTAGATTCCAGTGCCAGCTGAAGAAATCCCAGGATCAGGTTTTCCAACAGAAACCTTCTGTTGGGGATTAAATTCACCACTTTTACATAATACCCACTAACGAGCAGTTTTCTTAGACATTGCTCAATAAATACTGCTTTTGCTCAGTTTGTCCCTCTGTAATTGGAAATGAGGCTGTTGGGGCAGGCTATTTTTAGACACTGTATTGATCCAGCATGTAGGCATGGTAACACTGTTGAATTGATGGGGCTGGGCTGAGTGGAGAACCAACTCCTTATTTTTGTCTTCCACTCTATGTTTGGCTTCAGCTTATGTTCAATGCTGTTTAGAAAAACCGATTAGGAGAAACAAAAACAAAAAAAACATGGGTTATGAACTGGTGAAGTGCTCTTTCAGAAAAGAGTGTTGCTTGTTTTCCTGTAGATTTGTCAAATTTATATGACAGGATAACTTCAATTCAATTAAAAAATACTTTATTAATCCCAAAGGGAAATTAAATGTTGTTGTAATTCATGGGCAGTTTTTCAATGACGTGTCGTTGGTGTCGATATCTGCAGGTGGAAAGGATCTTCTGTAGCAGTCTGCCTTGCATATCTGTTAATGTTGCTTTGAAAGTTAAATGAAGTCATCTTCTTTTGTTGTGCAACTACTAGCATGTAAATGACAATATTTTTCTCTGTGTGGTCTTCTTCAATGAGCTGAACCACGTCAGTCAGTGAGCCTGTAGGAAAAGTAGGTTTCTGGGTCTGGCTGCCAGTAATGTTGAGTCCCAGCAGAGCTACAAAGGAGCTTGAGCCTCTTACTTTCATTAACCCTGTAATGAGGCCAGAAACAGAGGGTGTCAGGTTTGCATGCACTCTTCTTTATTACAGGAATGATCAGATGTTGTTTCAGTAGTGGTTGATTCTTTGGATATATCTATATTTGATTAAAGTTGTGCTTGATGTTCTTTATTATTATTCAATATAAAGCCATTCTGACATTGTATATGTTATGCTTTGCTGTCTGGATGATTGCAAAGAGAGTGGTAAGGCTTCACATTTAAGAAAATGGCACCAAAGTCATTTATGGAATGATCCTATTCCCTAGTATCCCTATATCCCTAGTATTAAAACTGCTACATTTACTGTATGTTTAATGAAGTAAATTTTTTTGAAGTGGAATTTTTGTTTTGCTCCAGCATTTTGTTTGAAATTATATATGGTACCTTACAAAAGTATTCACAGCCCTTGAACCTTTACGATAGTTTCACCCTGGAACCACAGCCCCACTTATATTAATGCACCTAAATACAATTCAGTGCAACCAAATGCTTCCAAATTTCGCCTGATTAAAAAAATAGATTGCAGTAGTGAGTGAACATGATCATGGAGACCAAGGAACAATCCTTAGAGTTCAACAATAACGTTGTGGAAATGTTTTATAGAAAGTTTAGGTGATAAAACTTTTCCCAAGCTTTGAACATCTCTCAGAAGAAGATTCAATCAATCCAAAAGTCATGAGACCATCTCAGAACTTACAAAAACCTATTAATAGAGCATCATCCACTTAAACCGATATGCCAGCCCAGGCGAGTCTTATTCATTAGTAGGGTCATGGTAACTCTCAAGGAGCTGCAGAGACTCATAGATCTGGTGGGAACTTTTCTTGCACACTAGAAATTCTGCCTTTAAGAAAGATAGACAACAGGAATATAGAATATATATTTATATATAGAATGCCATTAAAGACTAGACAGCTTCAAAAGCCACAAAAAGGAGACACAGCAAACATGTGGAAGAGCCTGTTTTCAGCCGAGGCTCAAACAGATAATTTTGGCTGAGATGCAATATTCTGCAAACATAACACTTCACACATGGTATTGTCATGTTTTGGAGATGCTTTCCAGGGAAGTCTTTTTCACTTTCTTTTGTTTATGCAAAACCTTTTATTTTCCTGCCCCCTTTTTTATTTTGTAGCTATTATGAGAATTCTATCTAGTTGCTAAGGAACTGCTTTACATACCGTTGATTTATCACATTAGTACACATGTCAGATATAGCCTGCACAGACTAATGATGACGATAGACAACCTATAATTGGCTTAGGAACTGGATGTGGCCGGCGTATTACTACTTCTTAGGTCTGTTTACACACACAGGCTCTTTGGCTGCTCCT